GAGGTGTGCTGTGATTGGCCAGCTATCCAATGCGTTGTGATTGGCCGAATACCTCAAGCGTGAGACGGAAATGTTACGCCCCTCACATACTGTTGATGCCGTGTCCCGGCCGGAGCGACGAGACAAAAACATTAAAACCCATTACAAACGAGGCATTTGTTGCATCCAGTGGGGACATAATTACTGATTATTATGACTTATACTGTCTTTTTACGTGTGGCATTGCATCGCGCCACGTAAACATAAAACTCTGTCTGCATTTGTAATCAGAGAAATGACAAACAACAAGTGCTACTCTACTGCCCAAAACTCGCGAAACACACAGCACCTTCACGACATGGCTGCATCGTCAACAAAACTACAGCGAGAATGTAGGTGTGGCTGACTCTGAACTTTTATAAAGAATATCTCTTTGGATTTGAGACTTTAGTCTTTGCAACTTTACAGATCTTTATGCACCAAGAGCTTGTAACACTCCAAAGAGAAAGGAAAAATTGAAATCGCATCATATGACCCCTTTAATAACTATTCAGTGAAAGGTTCTTTGAAGAACCCAAAATGGTTCTTCTATAGCATTGTCATCAAACCATCCTCTATTTTTAAGAGTGTAGCTGTTGTAAAATGCTTCTTTTAAGTATAAAGGAGCTTTGTCAATCTGGACTCTATATGTTAGCGTGTGGCGAGAGCGTGCTGCGTGCGTGTTTGTGATTGAAGAATGATTGACAGCTGTGGTTGTGTGTGAAAGGGTTCCCCTTTCCTCAGGATGCCCTCACTGTCACACTGCCTTTTAGCACCTTTGTTCCCATCTTCTCTCCTGAGAGCAGGTCTCCGCAGTGACAGATGAGGCTCCGTTTGTGACAAAAGGGTTCTTGTGCTCTTGGCTGTTGTGAACAGACTCAGACACGCATACGCACGTCGCAGATAACCTCTATAATGCCTTACTTTTATGTGTGGTATAAATTCAAAAATCTGTTCAAATTTGGCGAGATAAATGCATGCTGCAAATGCGTTTTACAACATGATATAAGTCTGTTTCAGACACACATACCTCCCACAGTAAGATAAAGTGATGTAAGACAAAGTGCTATGATTTGCAGTAGACAAGTTGCAAATTGTTGTCTGTTACTTATAACAAACTACATGATGAAAGTTGTAGTTAGTATGTAATCTATTGGGTTACATATTAAGTAATGTAATCAGACTACTTTTTAGATTACTTAATAATTCTGTAAAAAACTAATACTAAAAACTGTCAAAAAGATCGAATTGAAAAAAGGAAAACAAAGAAAAAATAAAATAAAACACTGGAAAACAAAAAGTATTTGTTTTTATAAAAAAGTTTATCATTTAAAAAGTTTTACAAAAACAAATACTTTTTTATTAAAAACCTAGAAAATTATAAAGAAATAGATAAACAGCGGATGTAAAACCAGCATTGCTGGGTAGATTACTTACAAATTGTAGTCTTTTATTGATAGCAAACTATGTGATGATAAATTGTAGTTAGTAGTGTAATATATTAGATTACATATTTTTAAGTAATGTAATCAGACTACTAAAAAAAGTACTTGTACATAAAATAAAATAGAAATATTTTATTTGTTTACTTGCATGTCATTAATCAGTATCAGAGAATGAATACATTAATTAATACAATAGTTTGCTGCCATTGTGTGAATAATGTCATTTAATTAATACAATTTTCAAATGTAATATCATCGAATTACAAATACTTAATATTTGGAGTCTGATTACATAATTATGTATAATCAGTTACTACCGTGCGCTTGCAGATGGTGTTTGTGTATATACGTGTGTTTGAAAGCCGTTGAAGTTGACGGGCCAAAGTGCAAGGGAGGTTTTTAAGGAGGGCGATGAGCATCAGACTAGGAGTGGACTGATGTCTTGTTTACACATTAGCAGGTTGAAGGAACCTCTGCTTTTACTTTCAATACTCTCTCACCACCTCACTCCAGAGATTTCCCTAACATCCCTGTCTGCTGCTGTTTCTTTCAAGCATGACATAAACACATACACACATGACCGAAGCTCCATTGCTCTCCTGTTTGACCTCGACAGACTATATGACTTTTGAAGGGCTGGTGTAAATCTACACTTAAAGAAGCTGCTGTGCTACTCCACAATTAGTTAAAAAGAGACATTATTCCCAAAATAATAGAGCCAGTGCTGTGGAACTGAAATTGGCTGTGGCCGGCAGTCTGGGAGCTCTGAGCTGCGTTTTACTTTCATGGGAATAAAACTATTAGTATGTAAATCTGTAAAGTCCCCATTATTATACTGACCCTTTTAGCTACCACTCTCATTCTGCCAATCTACTCTCTCCTATTTCCCCACTTAGCACCGCTTGTGCCTTTCATCGAGTGCATGTCATATCATAACTCATACAGCCCCGTTATGCATTATGCAATGCACATAAACAGCTGCATAGCTATTCTTCCTGTTTGTAATGTATGAGTACGGACAGTCTTATGAAATCTACGTGCCTCTCTATTTCAGACGCACACACACAAACACGCTTTTCTCTGCCACGCACACATACTGCATCTCCCAACACCATCTAATGAGGTGATGACCAACCACTTGTTATAATTGCTTTAGACTCCTTTTAATTTTCAAGCTTATTAATCATATGTAGAGTTATTTAAAAATGCATAAATTAATCTAGGATTAAAAAGCCGATCAAAGCCTCAAAACAATTAAAGAGTAAGGTGAGATTTCCCTAGGGCTGGCAGTTTTATTTTAATGGAGTGTTCAGGTGATTATCACAGTTTGATGTGCAGGCTGTGATTAATGTAGGATCACTTAAATGAGTTTTTCTTTCCTTCAGTCTTGTAAAGGTAAGCATGATCCACATAATGACCCTCCTGATTCATCTCTTAATAACTTTCTCTTTTTCTTGCTGTCATTGTGTAATAACAGAGGCTGACTTTTCTGCAGCTTCTTTTTAAACTGTTTATAATGTTCATTCTGTTTTCTGTCCGAAAAGTTTTTGATCATCTTTTATGCTGTTAAAATTAGTCTGCTTTAATGTTCATATATGAATTATAGTGTGACAGTGATTTGCCTTATTTTAGGAATGAATCCACTTCAATTTTCATTTGTTTTTGTGTATTTCTGTTTTGACAATGTCAAGGATTAACCAACCCAATTGGTAAACTAAAATAAATACTAATAACCTAGCTGGGTTTTTTTGTTTTGTTTAGTCTCTGCAATTTAAAATCTTCTAGTGGAGTCTAAGCACAGTGACCCTGTGTCAAGGGAACCAAGAGTGACATGTTCGTTTTAAAAGCCTTGTTTGTTTTGAACTTAATTTTCTGAGTTGACAAGTAAAATTACCGTAGCTGCCACTCACAAATGGGCAGCCTCACTACCTCATCAGGTGACCCTACCCTGACCCTTATAGGCACGCTGGAGGACGGAGACAAAGCAGCATAAAAACTTATGTGTGCACTCATATCAATAATACAGGGGCCAAGGACATGGGAGCCAAGAAAAGGGTTTATACCATCTCTCAAACTGATCTTACTCATTAGTTTCTCAACCTGCTTTAACAGCAGCACAATGGCCCACTTTTCATTGAATATTCTGCAGCAAAATTCCACCAGTTTTCTTGTACATATTCAGTGGTTAACCTTTCAAATAATCTTGCGCAAATGTTTTTTTTTTATATATATAATTATGTGGATATGTTTGAATATATATGTTAGTCTGGTAAATTTGTGATATTTTGTGAAACCTATTTATGTTTTGTCGATATAGCGTTACGATGCACGATTAGCGATGTTATGGTAATCGAAAAGTCGAACTCTATTCGCGATACACATACATTTAGCACACTCTGGCAAACTTGTAATATATTTTTTTGCTTATTGAAATGTTGCCGAGACATACAAACACCTTTGTAAAATTTTAAAACATCCATCTTATAAATAATTATGAATGATCTGTTTTAACTACTTTCTTATTCTTTGGTAAGTGCAGTGAATTGATATAGGTTTTGACACAGTGGTCCAGTCAGTCGTTGGCATTCGTGCACGAGCTGTTGGTGTGACGGTGGTCATTGACTGGCTTGTAAACACTTAACATTATAAACGTTTCCCTAAACGACTTGGCCTATATTTCTTCTCTTCGTTTTGTAAACATTAGGTTTGGTTCAAGACACATAATCAGATGACTCCTCCTTTCTCCGATTCTTTTATTTTATTTTGCATTCTTTCTTTTTATTTCTTTTTATTTTAAAGTTGTTGGTATTTGTACTTAATAGGTTTTGGTTCGATTTAAAAAGCATGCAACAAAACACAATCACCGTTATGCTATAGAGAAAACATTTTATTGTAGCTATTAAAAGCATTCAACAACACATACCCGTTTTCCTCAGAACGCACCAGCCTAATTCCCACGTTCAAACTCGAAAAGTGGTATTTCACATTAAACAAATCTTTTCGGAGCCTTCATACAGCATTAAGTTTACTACTACTAGGCTGGCTAATCTAAAGTCTTCCTAAATGCCACGCACGCCCCCGCACACACTGAGAGACAAGCAATCACTTTCATGTGTTAAAAGATCACGTGGTGAACTTTAAACGTCTCCAGGCCTCAATGACAGCACTGACTGTCGTCCCCATTGGTCCCGAAGGCAAATAGTTAATGTAAATATGCTGGCGCTAAGTGGGAGTGCCTCGCCATTAGTTTAGCTGTCACTTGAGCGCTGTCGAATGTCTTCAGTGGCTGTGTCGTTGAGGTCCGCACTAGCATGTGGTCATCCTCCGCGCGCACCTCAACACTAGTCGCGGGAGAGCCGAGTACGATGCAAGTCCACGCGCTCTAATAGGCCTGAGAGAAAACCGCTAAGGAAGCGCTCGTGGACATTTTATATCAGATCGGCGCGGTTCCAGCAGAAAATTCCACCACCGCTCTTTCCACATCCATACGGATTCCCGGCGTTTGGATTGTGTCAGAAGAAGGATGACGGTGTGGTGATGGGAGAGCCAAACAAAACAAACCTATCAGGTGTGTTCTGGCCGAGCGCGAAGGACAGTGCCTATCCCTCCTTTCCGATGTTTTGGCCTACAACAGGCAGCTTGGCCATGCCAACATACCACCATGCCCAGCCTAAACCTCCACCTGACGTGTTGTGCACTAGACATACTGAGCTAGACGTGTCAGAGCAAAGTGACCGAAGCACGAGCACCCCTAAAGACAGTCTACTTGATAACGAACGGTGTTCCAGCACTCAGTCCACCAGAAACGAGGAGGATAAATCTGGGGATGAGAGCAGGTCTATAGAAGGAATACCAGCCACCCCAAGAAAAATAAGCTACATATCTGCATTCAGGCCGGTTGTTAAAGATGTTGAGAGCATCGCAAAGCTATACGGAAACAGGGGTCCGTATTCTGGTCCTCGATCTGGTTATATGTCACCAGATTTCTTGAGTGAAAGTTCTAGTTATAGATCAGTGTCTCCGGGCGTGGACGATCCGGATGTGGATGTGGAGTCGCATAAAGTGCACGAGGACGAGGAGTGTTTGCCGCTGACTGTGGATGACCGGCGGAGTCCTCACGGTTTGACCGTAGCGCAAAGTGACGGGGGAAAAGATCAAGACCAGGACAATAGCCAAATGCTCACCGTGAGTGATCTACACACGACGAATTCAAGTGAAACGCGGTCGTCTGATTTGGAGAGCCACGGCAATAAACACACGACGCGCTTTGAAGTGAGTAACTAAATACAGAACCACGCGTAATTCCTGCGATTTTGTATTAATAGCTAAGATTCTTTTCTCATTATTTTAAAAAGCAGGGTTAGGTAGCCTATTAAACGGCTTGATTTTTTTTATGAAATGATTCATTATATTGATTTTAAACATTGTATTTATTCTCTATTATTTTAAAATATAAATATCTTGAAAAAGTTGCCCGTTATATAAAAGCCGTCAGAAAAGTAGAATTAAGGAAATGTCTTTTTTTTTTATAATAATAATAATAATATTAATGTTTTTCTTTTTCCAACGGTGTTCCAGCACTCAGTCCACCAGAAACGAGGAGGATAAATCTGGGGATGAGAGCAGGTCTATAGAAGGAATACCAGCCACCCCAAGAAAAATAAGCTACATATCTGCATTCAGGCCGGTTGTTAAAGATGTTGAGAGCATCGCAAAGCTATACGGAAACAGGGGTCCGTATTCTGGTCCTCGATCTGGTTATATGTCACCAGATTTCTTGAGTGAAAGTTCTAGTTATAGATCAGTGTCTCCGGACGTGGACAGCGTGGACGATCCGGATGTGGATGTGGAGTCGCATAAAGTGCACGAGGACGAGGAGTGTTTGCCGCTGACTGTGGATGACCGGCGGAGTCCTCACGGTTTGACCGTAGCGCAAAGTGACGGGGGAAAAGATCAAGACCAGGACAATAGCCAAATGCTCACCGTGAGTGATCTACACACGACGAATTCAAGTGAAACGCGGTCGTCTGATTTGGAGAGCCACGGCAATAAACACACGACGCGCTTTGAAGTGAGTAACTAAATACAGAACCACGCGTAATTCCTGCGATTTTGTATTAATAGCTAAGATTCTTTTCTCATTATTTTAAAAAGCAGGGTTAGGTAGCCTATTAAACGGCTTGATTTTTTTTATGAAATGATTCATTATATTGATTTTAAACATTGTATTTATTCTCTATTATTTTAAAATATAAATATCTTGAAAAAGTTGCCCGTTATATAAAAGCCGTCAGAAAAGTAGAATTAAGGAAATGTCTTTTTTTTTTTATAATAATAATAATAATATTAATGTTTTTCTTTTTCCATTCAACTATAAGTAAATCTTTTCGATTTATTTTAAATGTTATTTAGTGTGTCTTATTCTAATCTAATTTATATAATTCGGCTAATTATTGTTAATGTTTTCAAATGAGCAAGTAAGCTGAATGCATCCAGATTATGGGGATAATTGTCGCGCTGCATTTGAAATTTATAGGCTACTGATTAATTCAGGAAATTTGTTGTAAGTGGATATGGCTCTTCATAATCTTAGTTCTTTAAAAAATGTAATTAGATCGAAATAGCGGACGTTCCACTCGCATTCAAATACAAAATGCAAAATTGGATAATTGCGAATAATTGTCTTCTCGATTTTACAGGTCTATTCACGTGAACGAGACGAGCACGTGCATCAAATGAGCACATCTTATTTTGGTTCAACGACCACTTACCAACGCGAATCGAGTGGTAGGCCTGTTTTCATGTGGATTTTTCTTTCTTCAATTTTTAGAAAACAAAGTCTATCTTATCATAAATATATATGCTTATAGTTAAAGACGTGCATGAAGAAGAACCTTCATCTACGGTGGAAGAGATGGAGCCCAAAAATCATCAGGATCAAACTAACATCAATGAGGAGCGCCTGAAGGAACCAAATGATGGTGCGTATCGTTAACTGGACCTCCTAATATTCAACACTAGTCTGTTGATTTGCTTCATATGTATTTGTTGTGTGTGCAGACGAGGAATCAGTGCGCAAGGACACTGGCAGCAGGGTCTCCTTAATTGAGAAAAACATAGAGAGCATGGCCAAAGGTAAACAAAACAATATGTGCTGCATTTAGAAGAGCTGAAAAGAAAATGATTAGTTGAAATTGATTTTTTTTTTAAAGAAATTATGGTTTCCATGGGGGTTTTAGCAATAGCATAACAATGTTGTTTATTTTGGTAATAAAACCATTAATCATTTTGCAATTCTAAGTCATTTTAAAACATTTGCATGAGCTGCTGCTTTTATTTATTTTAACAGAGGAATTGCAGAAACAACTCGTGGAACAAGTTGAGCTTAGAAAAAAGTTGGAGCGTGAATTCCAGAATCTAAAAGGTAGGTTATGTTAAAAAAAAAAGTAATGTATTATTTACGCTTTACTAAACATATACAAAAATATCAGATCCTTAACTAATTCTCTAATGTTTATTTATAGGTTGTTACAAACTTACAATAGCTTGAATTTAAGTCATTCTAAATTTAAATACTTAGATATTTTGATTTATAAGAACTGAAACTTGGAAAACAATAAAAAATACTGTTTGAATATAATCAATTTTATGAAAATGGATACAAATGCATTATTAATTGCCTCTGCCTGTAAAATGCTGATTAATAGTTGGTCATTTAAAATGAAATACTAATAGCTACATTAAAAATTACAATTAAAAAAAAATATTGTCATGTGTTAACGGAGATACAACAAAGAGTCCAACAATCAACAGAGCTCAATAGATTTAGATGAGTTTTGCATAACAGGGGCACCACATAAAAAAATCTGCCAGCATTCATAAGTGAAAAGATTTAGCAGTCATTTGGTTGAATGTTATGGTTTTTCATCTTTTTTAAATTGAGAATTAATTTTACAGAAAATAGTGAACTACTGCAACAGAAACAAAATACTTAAACACGTGATAAAGTTTAGCATGACAATGATTTAAACACAGGAAAAACGATTATTGGAGAGGCTGATGAAAACGGATTCTTACAACGACAACATTTAAATGTCATGGCTGTACACAATTTTAAAATGTATTGTAAATGGTCTGTGTTCATTTTTAGACATATACATAAATAATTTTAAGTTTCAGTGCTTTAAACTTAAAAGCAGTCGAAATAATGAATTAGGGTCTGAATATTTTTGCAAAGCACTATATAATTGTTTCTTTTCTTATATAGTGATAAACATAAATGTGCTTTGATATTTAATTTACTTCACATTTTTTTCTTAGACAGTTTTCAAGACCAAATGAAAAGAGAGCTCTCATACAGAGAGGAAATGGTGCAGCAACTCCAGATTGTTCGAGGTAAGCGTTTGACTTCACATGACAAGTTCTGCCTTTCTATTTAATAGAACAACAATACACTAATCAGAACTGATCACACCCTTTTAGGACTTTTTGTGGTCCTTTCTGGAGTTTGTTCAGTCCTTATGACTGTTTTATATGCTACTAAGCATTAGGTTTATGCATTTGCATTGCTGCAGTAAGGGACAAGCAGACAGGGATCTGATGGTTTTTATCAACTTCAGAAACACGTACACTTGAATGCCTAAAAAATCCCATGCACAAAACTGAACCATTTTGGATGAGGGGAAAAATTAGTTTTCCACACCTGAGATATCCTTTGTCTCTCCTGCGCAGACACTTTGTGCAGCGAGAGAGAGACAGGTTATGCTATTCAGCAGAAGTTAAAAGGTAATTGATTCTAGCAAAGGCAAGCAAATAATAGCGTTCAGGATAACTGAAGGACTTGAAAAAAATCCTTGTAAGGCACAGTATTCAAAAGTGTGACCTTGAATAATTTTGATAACCCATGCCAGCTAGATGTTCATTTGTAGACAGTTTATATATTATTTTAGAAGCAGACTTGAGCCACACCGCAGTTTATGATAGCAGTTATTGTCCTAGAACACATTGTTTCTCACACTCTGTTTCTCTCTATACACATACCAACACAGACAATCACGTGCCGCTTTTGTTTTAAATTATTCATTCACTTTTTTCCCAGAAGCTCACGACGCACTACACCATTTCTCGTGTAAGATGCTGACTCCCCGTCACTGCGCTGGGACCTGCACCTTCAAACCTCCTCTTCTACCGCCTTGATGGACACCTATTGAAGACATAAGTGTGCTTTAGAAGTACTGCTGTGTCAAATAAAACTTTACTTTTTTCCCTCTGCAAAACACTGTCAACCTTTAGACCTGGAATAAGCAAGTGTGTACTGTAGTATTTTAGCTCTTACACTGTAATGAAGTCATTTTCATTTGCAAAAGAGTGTTTTCAGAGTCACTGTATGTACTGTATAATTTATATAAAGTTCTAGAAAATTGCATTATAAAAAAATTGACGTCCCACTTAAAAATATTATCATCAGTTGTAGAAATCACTGGTATTAAGTGGCTATGTGCAATGCATATATTTGTTATGTATCCTGTGATACCCTTTTTGATAGTGATAGGTTAGGACATTTTGTTAAATTAGATGCAACACTAATGAATGTTTTTGTATATTTTATTTATTCCATGTCCATGTTGGTTGTTTACTCTCATCTGCATATTTGTATAATATTGATGTAAAGCACTTTAAATTGGCAGCCCTAACTACTGAAATGTGGATTAAATGATCCTGTTTGAGAGTTGGTCTTCATTTCATCAATTTCCATAACAATGAACTACATTTGCATCTGTGTAAGTCCCAAAGAACAACATGACATTGATATCAAAATCTTAGTTTGAATATACCGGTGCATATTTCCATGAAAATAACTATCATTATGACAGTTTTGATCATTGCAGAAATCCAAGAAGTTTGTTAAAAAATATAGTCTTAAATTCAGGGTGTCGAAGAAAGTTCCTACTGTAGTTTGCTTTATCTTGTATATACTGTAGTGTAGCATATACACATTGACTGGGCAGATGTATGATCCTCATCCCTTTATTAGACAATCCTTTTTGGTTTATTGATGAGCTGATTATATTTACTAACAATTATTATATAATCAATCTATTTTTTCCATTTATGTCTTTTGAGCTTATATTTAGCATCTGAAAGATGATTGCGATACTCTTTTGCTGTACTTCATATATTGATTTTTATATATTAAAAATAATGAAGTATTGTAAAGCAGACATAGTTTTTTAGTTCTCATAATTTTATATTTTTTAATGCTTATATAAGCAGCATGAGACGTGGTGTCCTTGCATCTAAAGGCCAACTATAGGTTACGAAGGGTTAAGATCCACTACATGTATCCACTAACACACATTTGTTTTTAGCTTAGTAACTGATTTTACTGCTACTTTAGTTTCTATCTCCATGTATTGTTCACAACAACAACTTTGAAGATGAGAAGGTACTGTTGGTTCTTTCCTCTTAGCCCATCAGCTTGCCTTCCGCAGAACAAGTATTCATGGACAACATCACAAATAATGAGACCCATGAAACTTAAAAAATAAATGTTCTGTCTTCATAATTACTGCTGTTATGTAGTCACCTGTATAGGTTTCTAGAACCTTGCTATTTTAGAATCTTAATAGCTAGATCACATAAATTGAATTTTGCAATTATGCCTAAACTGGCAGTCTATAGGCTATTGCTGATTTGTGCTTGTAGAATTGGTTAGGGTTAGGAAGACTGTATCTCCGACTCTACTGTATATTGAACAAGCTGTTTCCCCCTAAAAATAAACATATTACCATATTCACTGGTTTATCAATTTAAGTCTTTGCAATCATCCAGCACAAATAAGCAGAATAATTAGATGCAGAATAATGAGACAATGGAAAACCAAAATAAAACTATTTGATGATAATACAACTAAAAGAAACTGGATAAAATAAGAAATCCTTCTGCCCTCCTGAGTTTGACTGCACTGCTACAAGAAAAAGGAAATAAAGCGTCCGTTAAGAGCATAGACTGTAAGGTTAAGAGACGGAATTACAATAAAAGGTGTGCGTCTGCCATCTAGTGGACACCTTTTTCATGGACAATAGGATTCAAAATAGTTTTGTGTTATTGTTATTACACTCTGAAACAAATCCGAAAGATTTTCAAACATGCATTGCTGTATAAAGCTGAAAATCAGAATCCCCAAACGTGCCTGCTTAAAAGCGATCTTACAGAAAGAGTGTTTGATTCACCCTACACACATATGGACTAGAAATATATTCATTTATTTGTGTGTTTAGGCTGATAGGATAAAAAGCCTAGCAAATAGCCAAACAGCAGAAATGTTACAAATAAAACTTACTAGATGTTTACGATTTTATTAGAGGTCTGGGGCCCGTTCTTCGTACGTCGCTAACTCAGTTAGCTGGATTTGATTGCTGATGAGTGTTGATGAATCCAGCCATACTAATCATCAACAACAGCTGTGTTCGAAGAACCGAATTAGCCAGATCCTGATTACGTACGAAGAACGGGCCCCAGCTGTCAACTCATATCCGTATTTTATTTTTATTTATCAAAACCAGCCAAAAGATGTAAAGGATTTTAGCATTGTTGAATGTAAATGCAAATTATATTTGGTTTTGAAAGATGGATCATGGTTGTAAAACAAAAACTGCACGTGGTTACAAAATTACAACATGTCATCATCCCCAAACTTTTATTTTTTTAATTCCTGTTTTTTTGTATCGATCCGTTCCAAAGAACCGATTTGTGGAAATGCCTCGGACTTCCCATCACTGGTCAACTAATACAACTGAATGCAAATTGGATCCGATTATCTGGAAGGAATGTAACGTTACCGTTAACTTTTTGTTCAATCAATTCAACAACAAATGTATGATTGGTATAAATTGGTAAATCTAATCTGGTTACAGGAGATCTTGTCGATGCCGTGTATTCCATTCAGGCAATGTGAAATCGCGTAGTCCGCGCGCTAATTTTTGAACTACAGAGGATTCCTGCACGTTTGAACCGTCCTGGTCACGTGCCAAGGCTCTGATCACGCTTGCGCCAGAGAAACAAGATGGCGGAGAGTGCGGAATTGAAGGTAAAGTGTAACCCGCAAATTACGTTCAATACAGCCTATATACAAGACCTGTTCGGCAATGTTTTGCGTCCGACCTGTTCCTGCGATTGACTTGTGAACGAAGTGCCGTTCCGTATTTGATCTAAACGCGCTTTATGAGCAGTTTTAAGCCCGGTTAAAGGAACAGTGTTATTGTTGTGATGGATCCAGCTAGCTGCCAGCTAACCCGCACAGCTGTCTGCCTGCTCGTGTGAAATTAGCTCTCTTCCATCTGAATTAAGATATTAATATTGCTAATTGTTGTTTTAACGTTTAAATGAAGCGATTAAATGGTCCATGAAGCGTCAGAGGAGTCGGTCGTAAGTGTGAAGCAGCATGTGGGTGGTGCGTAGGCTGCTAACAGCCTGGAGATTCGGTACTTTGACAGTTAGGACTTCTGTAAACCATTTATAAAAACAGACAACCGCTCAGTCTCATCATGACCTAGATATCTGACAACCAAGAGTGAATTCTGGGCATCCTAGACACGTTTGAACCTTTGAATCGAGTATGCGACGTCCAAAAATGCTGTCTCTGTTTACACAGCAACAGATTTTGATGCAAACAATCGACCACGGCCTGTTTCGTTTAGTTTCACTGTGATTTAGTAGAACGTTTGTTTAAAGTTGGTGTGTGTTTAGCTGCTACATAGGTGATGCTGTGAGATTGTTTGTCCTGCATTGAGACAATATATGAAGACATTTTCACGTCTTCTGTCATTGTTGTTGTGTATTTTGATGTGATTTGATTGTCCCACACTTACTTTTTTTGTTTTAATCATGATGTGGATTCCTAGTGATATTAAAATTCATTTGGTCAGCTATTTGTTGTTGTATTATAATGTTATTTCTTATGGAGAGGAACATGTAGACCTCTACTGGCTCTGATTCTGTCACTTAGATAGTATACTGTCAAAAGTAGTTAATTTTAAAGAGTTTATGGATCAGACCATTTGGCAACAGTCTTTTCCAAAAAGAGAAGACAAGTCATGATAACATGACCCCTTATGTTGTAGATTTGTCTTTTTCATAGAATTAGTAGCTTTATTTGGCAATGACACATTGTTCCATGATACTCTTGTTGGCAGTAACAAAACATCTATTTTGCAGAGCGCAAAATGACCTTTGCTGCTGATAATCCAAAGATCTTTTTTTTTTGTGAAAAACTGCTGTTATGTTTTAAGCTGTGCATTTTGGATTTGTCATTTATAGGAGGCATTTCCTGTTGTTTTTGCAAACAATGAGCCAAAGATTTAGTTGGAGTACCAACTTGCTACATGGGGACAAGAACATTTTGCTGCCAGAATGTAAATATAAAATATTTGGTATGCTAACAGACAGCATTGGCATTACAGGCTGAAAATAATTGTCTTTAAATTTGAATTTCAATTAGATTAATATGAAAGTGTAAAATTATTTTTACATTTGACATTCTCAGATGACATACTTTAGCCTTTTGACTCCAGAATCAGGAATGTTTTATTTGTTTTTTTATGTTCAATTACTGAACCTTTTGACCCACCACTGTCTGAAATAACTCCTAATAAAATCCTGTCTTAAGATGGTGATCAAATGTACACCTGTTATAGTATATTATTGTGAAATTTTAATACTAGCTTTTACAGTTGCATTGCAAACCTGTATCATAATGTTTGATGTGTTAGTCAAAGCAAAAATCTGATAGTTTAACCCACTTCCTGGTGCTTGATGAAACTGGTGATTTTAAACATGAATTAAAAAGTAATTTTCTCTTATCATTTTGTAATTTGTTGGGGATGTGGAGGTAGTTCATTATCAATACTTCAGACTAATTTTAATTATCAATTATAGTTTGATTTATTTCATTGTTATTGAGCATCAGTGCATTTGTGGGTTATGCAGGAAGGAAGCCTGCTTTATGCAGGTATCAAAATTACATCCTTTCAGTGAAGTGCTTCCTATGGTTAAGTTATGTCTTTGTCATAACTGAGTCAAGGCTTATGATAACCACACTCATTGAAACTAAATAAGTAACCTTTCTGTTAATTCAAGCAGTTGTTTTATTAAAGGGGTCATATGATACGATTTCAAGTTTTCCTTTCTCTTTGGAGTGTTACAAGCTGATTGTGCATAGATAAGATCCCTGAAGTTGCAAAGACTAAAGTCTCAAAACCAAAGAGATATTCTTTATCAACGTTAAGACTCTGCTCGTTCTAACACGCCCCCACATATCTACGTCACTATGTGGAAATATTTGCGTAATGCCACCCAAATGTTCACGCAAAGAAAGAAGGCGTGGTTTCAGTAACCG